TAACTGCACAGAATCAGGATGATTCTCCAAAACATCAATGAATCGGGATGATTCATTTAACATGGAATCAGGGTTATTCCACTCAAACTTCACAGAATCGTTATGATTCATTTAACATGGAATCAGGATGATTCCCTGAAACTTCACTGAATCGGGATGATTCATTTAACATGGAATCGGGATGATTCCTTAAAACTTCACTGAATCGGGATGATTCATTTAACATGGAATCGGGATGATTCCCTAAAACATCACTGAATCGGAATGATTCACTTAACATAGAATCAGTTCTTGAAAAGTTCATTATATGGGGTTGGATCTCCCTCTGGTTTGAAGCGACTCTCGAATTCTAAAAGCCAAATCACAATATCATATCCACCCTACTATAAAAGGAACTTTGAAAGTAAAAATTTTGAAAATGTCAAAATAGTTCGAATTCAACTTTGACAGCACCTGTGGAATTACTATTTTGTTTATCTTCATTACTTTTGCTAGACGACTGCTTTTAATGCAACACATTTTTGAGCCACTCATTTTCCTTTTCTAAATTTGAATTTTGTTTCTTAACTTCTCCTAATTCTATGAGAGTATGAAAAGGTTCACTAGAACAATCATCTGTTGTAGAACTAGAGCCTTTCAGTTTTTAAACCGTTTCCTCCACTTCGTCATCAAGGTCTTATTTTTCTTCTTCCAAGACTCTGATGAGTTGCTCCATTTTTTGGTAGCTTTTTCAAATAGAGTTTAAGATTTCTTTTCTAATCAATGATAACTGAGACTAATAAGATTGAATTTAGGATCTGGAGAATTTCCACATTTATTCTTTGGTTCATCCGTTCCAGTAGCGTTGACTTTTAATGACGTATTTTCAGTCATTTCCTTCCGTTGTTCCATTTCTTTTTTATTCTCAAATATTATTTCTTTTTATTTAGAAAATTAAACATGCTTCCACTCTATGTTAAACTATCATAATCAATTTAACTTTATAGAAAATACAATTCCTACTTGCTACATGATTGCTTTACAATAAGCGCAAGGACATTGGATTAATGCTTCACTCCTAGGGTGGCTGTTAATTTCCAGATTGTCAAAAATCAAAATTTTCCATATCACCAGGGTGGTAATTTTCTTCTTTTAACGCAGGAAGAGCTCGAAGAAAAAAATTGCGCTCCGCTTTCGGTAATAAGTTTTAAACTTTTGAGAATTTGGGTCCACTGTTGGGCTGCCAGTTTATAATAAGAGGGCGATGTAAACTTTACATTTAACCAAGCAAACAAAAAAAAATTATAATTATAAGAAAAACACTACATGGAAGAATTACATGTCAAAAGTAATAAATGTAGCATAAATCAATTACTCTTGGATAAGAGGAAAAGTTATGTCCATGCAAAAATCTGTCGAATCTCTTTTAACTAACGGCTCAGATGTTAGATGTTTCAATTTTTGTTGACTGTTGCCATTTAGCGTTAGGTTATAGAATTTATTTTACCTTCAATTGCATTTTTAGTTTTGAAACAAAGGGTGCACAAAATATCCATTTCTTCATCTTTACCACAGAATCATATAACAACCCACCAGAAGGTACACATTTTTTTTACGACACTTTTTCCATGCAAGTGCATCACTCGCTTTAGTGCATCAATCTCTTTTAACTAACGGTTCAGATGTTAGATGTTTCAATTTTTATTGACTGTTGCCATTTAGCGTTAGGTTATAGACTCCCCCCTCGGGCTCTGATGACGTCTCGACGAAGAGTCCGCAAGATATTTCACATTCATCTCTATGAAGAGTAAACCGGGAATCTTTTGATGACGAGTTTGAAATGATTGATTTAACTGCACAGAATCAGGATGATTCTCCAAAACATCAATGAATCGGGATGATTCATTTAACATGGAATCAGGGTTATTCCACTCAAACTTCACAGAATCGTTATGATTCATTTAACATGGAATCAGGATGATTCCCTGAAACTTCACTGAATCGGGATGATTCATTTAACATGGAATCGGGATGATTCCTTAAAACTTCACTGAATCGGAATGATTCATTTAACATGGAATCGGGATGATTCCCTAAAACATCACTGAATCGGAATGATTCACTTAACATAGAATCAGTTCTTGAAAAGTTCATTATATGGGGTTGGATCTCCCTCTGGTTTGAAGCGACTCTCGAATTCTAAAAGCCAAATCACAATATCATATCCACCCTACTATAAAAGGAACTTTGAAAGTAAAAATTTTGAAAATGTCAAAATAGTTCGAATTCAACTTTGACAGCACCTGTGGAATTACTATTTTGTTTATCTTCATTACTTTTGCTAGACGACTGCTTTTAATGCAACACATTTTTGAGCCACTCATTTTCCTTTTCTAAATTTGAATTTTGTTTCTTAACTTCTCCTAATTCTATGAGAGTATGAAAAGGTTCACTAGAACAATCATCTGTTGTAGAACTAGAGCCTTTCAGTTTTTAAACCGTTTCCTCCACTTCGTCATCAAGGTCTTATTTTTCTTCTTCCAAGACTCTGATGAGTTGCTCCATTTTTTGGTAGCTTTTTCAAATAGAGTTTAAGATTTCTTTTCTAATCAATGATAACTGAGACTAATAAGATTGAATTTAGGATCTGGAGAATTTCCACATTTATTCTTTGGTTCATCCGTTCCAGTAGCGTTGACTTTTAATGACGTATTTTCAGTCATTTCCTTCCGTTGTTCCATTTCTTTTTTATTCTCAAATATTATTTCTTTTTATTTAGAAAATTAAACATGCTTCCACTCTATGTTAAACTATCATAATCAATTTAACTTTATATAAAATACAATTCCTACTTGCTACATGATTGCTTTACAATAAGCGCAAGGACATTGGATTAATCCTTCACTCCTAGGGTGGCTGTTAATTTCCAGATTGTCAAAAATCAAAATTTTCCATATCACCAGGGTGGTAATTTTCTTCTTTTAACGCAGGAAGAGCTCGAAGAAAAAAATTGCGCTCCGCTTTCGGTAATAAGTTTTAAACTTTTGAGGATTTGGGTCACTGTTGGGCTGCCAGTTTATAATCAGAGGGCGATGTAAACTTTACATTTAACCAAGCAAACAAAAAAAAATTATAATTATAAGAAAAACACTACATGGAAGAATTACATGTCAAAAGTAATAAATGTAGCATAAATCAATTACTCTTGGATAAGAGGAAAAGTTATGTCCATGCAAAAATCTGTCGAATCTCTTTTAACTAACGGCTCAGATGTTAGATGTTTCAATTTTTGTTGACTGTTGCCATTTAGCGTTAGGTTATAGAATTTATTTTACCTTCAATTGCATTTTTAGTTTTGAAACAAAGGGGGCACAAAATATCCATTTCTTCATCTTTACCACAGAATCATAGCAACTCACCAGAAGGTATGCATTTTTTTACGATACATTTTCCATGCAAGTGCATCACTCGCTTCCTCTGAACACACGCAACAGGTGTCAGAAACTGAAACATCTTCAGTAAGCATGTATTCATCCTGTTGATTTAATCCATTATCTGCTATAATCTCATCCATGTTTTTTTAAACAGGCTCTTTTTCCTGCATAATCTGATTATTTCACCTTTATCCATTCTTTGGACTCTTTCTATTACGTTAGTTAATACTCTGACAGAAATACTGAGATGTATTTCATACTTTGCCGGTTTCTCATTTGGCAAACTGATACTAAAAATATTATGAAAAGCTGACGTATTCTCGAGTTATTTGCCTTATGTGTACATTGTGAAATTTTGCTTTTAACTCATGGACTATTGGTATTATTGATAAATAAGTGAATTCCATAAAAACAAATATAATGATAGGAAAAAATATTGCACAAATGCGTAAAACAGAATTATGTGCATTATTTATAATACTGATGATTTAATTACATTACAAATTTTGATTTTAAACCAGTTGTACCCTAGTTCTATAGTGATAAGGAAGCGATTTGTAGTCTGAGTACCGTTTATTGGGTACTCAAATAAAGAACGAAGTGAAATTCATGCTTCTGATTATAATATACTAATCAAAATTAAACAGTCGAGATAACTTAAAATTCAAAGCAAAGTCAGTTTTCTAAAGAACAACATAAATACATTTAATACTGAAAGAATGTGGGTTTTGTTTTATTAATAATCAGGATCTGATAAAGTCCTGCTGGAAAAGAAGCCAAGCCTAAAGCAAAGTTCTCCGAAAATCAGATAAGCAGAAAGGAAAATTCACTGAAAAGCATTAATAGTTAAAAATAAAATAAAAAATAATGAATTACAAAAATGAACTGTTAACTCAAATAAATTAGCATAAAAGCACTAACAATCCAAACGTGAGGAAGCACTTAAATATGAATATGAACAAATTAATTTAAGAATAAAAACCTAAATTAACTAAGAATTATTTTTAAAAAATACATGTTTAAATAATGAGTAATTAGCAATAGAGACCCAAAATTTTCGTCAAATCTAAGATACATAATTAAAACCAATAAAATCGAATTTCAGTCCGTAACTTACGCAACGAATGGAGACTGAATTTGTGATGACGTCAGCTGTCCTGTGAACAAATGTAAATATGACGTCACAAAACCCACTTGATCTCTGAGTCATTCTCTGCTTTTTGCAACTTTTCGATTCCTCTCCTGCTGTTGAAAGATTTCTGGCAACACTGTCTTTGTCGTCCACAAAATGCATAGGATAACTTTCTATGACTGTTACTGCGTGACTTTATGAGGATAATGCATAATAATAAATTTTTATCACAATGTAGACAGGGCAGTCTGCCATTTTCATCTGTGCATTAGCAACCGCAGATTATTATTACTCTCCACGATTATTTTTTCACCGCATTGAAATGATCTTCAAGTAACATAACTTCAAATGCGACTTAAAATTAACTTCATTATGTTCTGAGTAAGCTAGATGTTTCTTTAGGAATCTTGAAAATTCTATGTATTTAACTCATTGATAATAACTTATTTTATTAGATAGCTGGAAAGGTCATACTTCCCAGTTAATTGTTTCTGGATCGGATAGTGGTGCTACTCTAAGAGCTTTGCAGCCTGTTACGACATATCACTTAAGGGTCATAACCGAAAACGCGATTGGGAAAAGCAGACCTAGTGCAATTATCAATGTTACAACTCAAGTTGAGGGTAAGTTTACTTGTTTAACGCTTGTTTAACGTTTGTTGCTTAACGTTTGTTTTTATTACAATTCTGTATTGCCTAAAACAAATCTTTATCGATTACCATTGAAATTCTGGCTAATGTTAAATGTAAAATGTACCAAATTATATTTCTTTCGCCTGTATTTTTTTTCACTTTCACATTGGCGATATAACATTAAATTTCAAAGAAAATACTTCGGCAGAACAACTTACATAATAGTTTTTTAAAGATTAGATAGTTCTTTGAAATTATTCAACAAATATGTATAAAAGTCTCTAGTACTGGTTTTTAATGAACAAAAACATTAAAGGAAAGTCTAACTTTAATAGAACTTTCGGGGTGTCTTAATTAATTTTAAAATATTTTTTAGGCAAAAAATAAGGTTAAAATTATTTTCTTAAATAATTTTAATTATCGCTTAACTGTTTTAACTAAAAATGCTGATTTAGTATAAAGGCAATGATGTAATGAAAAGTCGTTAAGTATATAAGAACCAATCGCATTAATATATGTGTTATTTTTCGTGCTAAGTTTTATTATATCAAATTATTAAACTATTGTGAGGCAATTTATTCCTACTTGAATAATTTTTACCTATATAATATCTTAATTATGTGTTATTAAATAAATGTCAATGGTTCAAAAGTGTGTATTAATTACTAAATTTTAAATAGATACATTTTAGAAAAGTTAGTTATTAGTGTTTCAGCATTATTGTCTTGTATATGCGCAAAAATACAATTTGCAACTGGTACTGATATCGTAATTTGTATTCCTGGTACTTTTAATTTTACCACTGCAAGTAATTTATAGCTACGCTTAAAAATTTAAAAAAGCAATTTCTGTGAAGTACCATATATTTTAAATTATAAAACTGGAATATAAAATATTCAGTGTTTCCTGTAATTAACGGTATTTAACTTTAGATGATCGTCAATTGTCTTTTAGTTCGAGGATCCAAGTCATTTCGAGGTCCAAGTCATTTCGAGGTTAAGTCATTGTATAATTTTCTGTTTTCCAAAGCTTAAAGTTAAAATGAAATGTATCTTCTGAGCTTGAGAAAAGAATTTGAGATTTCATTGAACTACTGCTGACGACAACCGTTAATAATTGAGGATTTTAAATTAAAGAAAGCTCTTAAATTATGGCTTGTACGTGAGACAATCATTAACAAGCAATGGATCTTTATAGCTATACTAATCTGAGTAATTCTTTTCTACCCCTTTTTTTATATTTACTTGCAGAACTTGGGTCTTAACTTTCAAGGTATTCTATTTTAGGTACAAACTAAGAAAAGTTAAATTTTTAGAGGTTTATAAAAATTAATTAAATGCTGTCCAAGTGAAGATTAGAGAGCTGAAAATACCTTACAGAAATGTTTCCATGTAAAATGTTATTTTTTTTTTTTTTTTTTTTTTTGCGATGTTACCAAACTTATTTGTTATTATACAATATATATTTTAAAAATAAATGTGCTATTTCATCTTTGTTTAAACTTACAAATCTTGGCATATTTAATGTAATTAACTCAAAATTATATTATTTCTAGGATACAACGGCTGAGATAAAACAGTTCGTCATTAAAGTGTTGGTAACATCATATTAATTTATAGTTAAAAGCATTAGTTTAATTATATTATAAGAAAACAAAGCTAGAAATGTTTTCTTTATGCTTCCTATATCTGAAATTAATTCATTAAAAATTCAAAGAAATCTAAAAACCCAAAAAACTGCTGTGAAAAAATATTTGAAGTAAGTTTATATATGAGAATAATAATGTAACTAAATGAAAAACTAAATAAACTAAATAAAAAATATTAAATGCATTAAACATCAACTCTATAAAACTTAGCGGTCAACTAAATTTGCATGTATAAAATCTATTTAGAATGTTCTCTCTGGAAGCGGAAATCAAACTTTAAATTTTAAAAAAAGGAAAAAGAAAAAAAAAGGAATTACAAATTAATTTTTTGCGTATATTGTGTTTATAAACTAAGCATTCAGCAATTTTTGGTTAAATAGAAATTCTGAATAATTGAATCAAATATATTATACATGCTATAAATTCCATTTACTCTTACCTCAGCTTTGTTTTAATTGGAAGGTAACCTCGAAATAGTGCTTAACTGTCCTGAAAGGCTTGGTTTAAAGTAAAAGACGGTTCCTCACACTTTGTTTCTTGTACTGCAACTTAATTAACAAAGTCATACTCTAGTTAGGCACTAGATTCAGTAAGTTATTATAGCAATTTAAATCATTTATATAAGATCTTAATTTCTGTACAGGTTGCATTTGCTAAAACAAATCAGGATCACACTTTCCGCCATTAATTTTGCTGATACTTCTGAACTGTATTTGCATGCTAATTTTCATATTCTCGGGTTTTTCTGGAAAAAGAATACATGATTCGAGGAAACAGAAAAGTGGAATCATAAATTAAAATGGGTTAGCATAAAAAAATTAAACCTTAAAAATAAAATGTATTTGTTATTATAGGGCTCATATAAATTATTCATCGGATTTTAAAAATCTGTTTTCAGAAGTACGAGTATTATACACAATAATAAATGTAACGTGAAAGGAACAGGAAGCATAACAAGTGTTCCTCTAAGCTACAAATGTGCATTCCGTTGGCACTGGTAGCCAAGTTCGTTCCATACCTTTTGAAACGTACCTACTTCAAGTTCCATTCGTAGAACCGACACTGCATAGGCTTGATACAGCGTAGAACTAAAGTAGGATATGCCTGACTCTAATACTGCCGTAGGTTCAACATCATAAACTAGAAATTTTGATACTAATGTCATTGAATATGAGAATTAAAGCGCATTTCTCAGCTTGATAGACTTGCCAGGCGTACGATCAGTACCGCGTAGTGTGAATACCGTATGGGTGACCGCCATGGTGAGAAAAGATGACACACATATAGGGTGCTTGATAAACACAGTCACTTCACTTATAACATTTCCACTTTTATATAATATGGGCTCCTTTTTTATTTACCAACAGGAAAGGAAAATTAGGTAGCTTGCCTCCTAAGATGAAGGTTTCCAGTCACAGGAGATTATAAACATCGCGAGGCATCTAATGCAATGTTTATCATCCAAGGCAAGGATGATAAACATTACATTAGATGCTATCCTCCGAGTATATACTCTACAGATCACGCAACAGCAATCGACATTGCCTCTGTTGTTTAATTGTTTTAAGTACGATCAGCGCAGGGCGAAAAGATAAGCCTAGAAAAAATAAGACTCAAAAGCACTTCACAAATTCAGCATCTCAAGTCTCCTGGCAGCAACCCCAGAAGAACCAAAAATTCTGTAGCACACCTTAAATAACCTTGTGAATATGGGCAGCAGCTATGACAATAGCATGTGCACGTAAAAGGGCCTCCAACAGTAATGCCATCATAATAATATTTCTCTCAAATACCAAAAGAGGATAAAATGCAAAGAACGAAAGCCCGCGAGGTTCACAGATTCCCGCGTTTTATAAGCTAGTACAGTTAAGCCAACAGTTAAGCATCTCAGCCAATGGAAACTTTCACAGTGAGAAGAACGAACAATCATAAAATTTCTCTTGCTTATCAAACCAACTGAACTGAAATGTGTTCTTGTCTTATGAAATTGCATATTCATGTTACAAGAAACAAATCGTCGAATATATCTGTCATCAATAGAAACTAAAATTCTACTTGCAAAGTATAGCTGTTCGCATCATAATATGATGCAGTGACTCGGCTGTTTTCATAATAGTTTTACTAATTTATAACTTAAATCCAAAGTGACGTCGTCACAGTTCCTACATGGTATATTTGCAGAACGTGGCGAAACCTTGGTGAATCTGAGATTGTTTTCCATGCACTAATTATTATTGCAGATGCAAAACTTTAAAAATAAAGTGACTTCGATGAAGTATTTACAGTGCCTTTGTGTTTTAAAATATATATATATGTGTAAATTATTACCTTAACAAAAATTAAACAGTTAGAACAGTACTATGGCGTTATACTGAAATTATGATTAAACGATTTTCCGTTGATTAAATTCCATATTTGTAACAGGTAACATTCCACTGTCTTCTTCATCTTATATTACATTATATGACAGTTAAAGATTAGAAAGATAAAGTTTTAGTAGTAAAAATATATAATTTTAAATCAAATTTTGTGTCTGAAGAACACTGTTGTCCCACAATTAACTCGAAGATCAATATTACCATAATTACTTCCTGACTATCTTTCTACGATGGGTGCAATTACACTTTTTAAATCATTCATCTTAAAAATCAACATATGGAAACAATTACTTTATTATATATAAATACATAACCCAGTTTCTTCTAATCGATTAGAGGCCCGCGTTAAACTGTTGTTTTATTGATTATGTCAGGAAAAGAAGTGCTTCAATTCTGTGCTTCATTGGAAACCGATCCAGAGCACTAACTAGAAATTAATTTAAAACAATGAGCTTTACTAATATAGTCTTACATTACACTTAACTCATTATCTTTTAGGAAGATTTATATACACATCTAATACACATACAGATCAGACATATGAGGCGAACTGTTAAAAGCAGTGATAAATTGTACACAATGTCCTATGGAAGTACATATATACATTAAGGCGAATAAAGATAAATTTAGTATTTGACGAACACATTCAAAATGCAAATATGAATATATTTTATTGTCAAAAGAAAAAAAGCTGTCTCATTATTATTTGAAACATATTCTTATTTAAGTAACTTTTGATGCATGGATAGAAGGAAATACAAGCTATTTATAGCTCAATCTTTCAACTTTTAAGGAAAAAAATACCTTCCCATTCGCTGTCAATCACTAACCAGACAAAAACTCTGCTTTTACTTGGCGGCCCCTGCAGAAGACCGTTCATGTACAAAAATGGTGCTCACAGTTCTATTCCTTTTCCTGTTGCAGTATGCAATTAAGAGTGAGAATAAATCTTTCTAAAAAATATGTTCAACATTTTGCACGGAATGAAAAAAATAAAATTAGAAACCTGGATAAAATTGAATAATTTTCATTCCATTTTATGACAAGCATCATAGGCAAAGCTACTTTACCTTGATCATATATCCCTACTGTGCGTCTATCATTTGTACCGAACTTATTTTTTTGTTGATCTCGTATTGTATGTTTGATTTCTGCTTGTTCGACGAAATGAAGTAACAGAAATACTTACTTTTTATCTGCTGGTTTCCTTGAGTTATAACTAAAAGGTGATCATAAAAACCTTCCCCAATATATGAACCTATAACACTTAACCAATCCAATATTTCAAATATTGTTGTTTCACGGTATGCGCTCGAGTTTGTGATGGCAAATTTGCTAGCATAAAACATTTGCAAAAGAAAGCATTGTAAAGGACGAATGACAACACAAAGGGGAATGAGAAGGAAAAAAAATATATTGGAATTACAAGTTTTCTATCTGTCCACCTTCGCAGACGACAACGCATTGCGCAATAATAATTAAATTTGTTAGGACTTTGTTGACAATAATAACTAACGTAACATCGAGAAATCTGTTTAACTTCAACTTTTATGGCATCTTTCATTTCTGATAAACCCTGACAATCTTGGATTTGATGTGTATACTTTATATTTCAGATAACACTGAAATCGTAACCAGTTTAAAACAATAAATTTCTCACGGTTACGGTTACAGAGAAAAAATTTCGAAATTTTCAAACGGCAACAGCCACTTTTTCTCTGCGCAAACTTATTAGCGCATGGAAAAACCATAAATGGCATTCCAACGATACATGTGTGAAGAAAATTGCCGGCGTAAAGCATTTGTAAAGAAGAGCATTGTATAAAACCATTGACAACACTAGAGCGGGAGGGAAAAAAAGGCTTTTACACGTTTTTACAACGTTTTAAGACAGAGTCGTCTTCCATAAATTTGTTGTTGGGTGGCCACCACAATTCCCCCGAACTCACTCCGATAAATTTCTGTTCTAGGCTTATCACAAATCTCAAGTATACACATTAAATCCAAGATTGTCAGAATTTGTCAGATTCGAAAGATGCCCTAAAATGTGAAGCTCTACTGATCCCTTTTTCGGTATTATTGTCAACAATCTTCCGCATGAAATGCGTCAACAATCTCTCGCATGTATCTCTCGCAAGGATCTCTCGCAAGGAGGGCACGTGAAAAACTTGTAGCTCGCATAAAAGTTTTTAAACCCTCTCCTGATTTGTATTGTCATTGGTCCTTAACAATGCTCTTTTTTGCAAATGTTTTATGTGGCAGTTTCGTCATACGTGTATCGTTCCAACGCCATTTATGGTTTTTCAGTGCGCTGATCAATTTGCACAGGAAAAAAGGTAGTTGCCCTTCCTTCACTGTAACCGCAACCGTGAAAGCGCTTTTGTTTAAAATCATCTCAATCTCGAGCGCACACCTTCAAATAACAATATCTGAAACTTCATTCCGTTTGGTGAGCGGATACGCAACTAGCGGTTCGTACATTAGGGACTTTTTTTTAATTGACAACCCTACATTTACTCTGTTATGACCTGATATTTATTTCAATAATGTTTCCATTTCTTCCTGTCATAGTTATTAAAATATATTTTGACGAATCAGTAGCCGAAAAAATGTGTATACAGATAACTTTAAATATATTTAAGAATATTTAAAGTAATATTAAATATGTTTAGATATATTTAATATTATTTCGATTTAACACCTTTTGTTAAAATATTAAATATTTCATTAATTTAGTTCTTTAGCTCATTAACTGGAGAATTTCTAAAAAATTAAATTACTTCAATAATTTTCTATATGTTATCATTATACAGCACCCTCTGCGCCGCCAAGAGACCTGTCTGTTCAACCTACGGGAGATCAGTCTCTAAAAGTTACATGGAAGGTATGAAACAGTATCTTTTGGTAAATATGATGCTGCATACTATCAGTAAAATTCTATTCCTTGGATGTTCCGTTATTTTGACATTTTAATATTGATATGTCTCATTAATACTATAGTCTGGAAATTAATTGGGACAAAGCGATATTTTTCATAATTTATCTTATAAAGTGTTAATAATAAAACTAATAGGAAATATGTACTGCTTCAACACTAATGTCCTCTATAATGCACTTAGGCATTAAGTATACTAGTACTGCAGACATAATTTTTACTTCTTTATCATGCAGTCACACTTTCATAGCACTATTATATCATGCCTTCTTTTGACATACAACCCATTTCGCCAAGATGTTCCTTGAAGTGTGACACAAGTTTTCGATCAGCAATAACTCTGGTGAATTTCCAGGCCAATCTAGCACAATAATTGTATTTTCCAACTCCAACCTTCTGACAGATTTTGAATTGTTGCATGGAGTCAAATCATGCTGAAATGTCTCTTCAAAGGTTTTAGAGAATCCTATGTTTTAATATTTCTATGTACTTCTATGAATTCATCATTTCTTCAACAGGATTTATCAATACATTTTCAGTGCACTGTGAAAAACCCCAAAACTTTTGGAGTATTTTAGTCGTATTTTACGGTTTGTCTGATATGTCGGGTTCTTACTGATTCACCATTGCTTCGTCTAACAACGTTAGATATGTAACCATGAACAAATAAATCAGTGTCATTTCTGAAAATGACATTTTTCCAGTCATTTCTGATCACGTGATGATTTACGTGTCAAAAATTATTTTTTAACAAATTGTTTCTTTCTCATCTTCCGATTAGGAGTGAGAAGTCTGCGTTGTGCGTTTGAAGGATGAATATCAATATCAATAGATAAAATATCTCTTTTAAGGTCTTTGCTAATTTTTATTCGAATTTAGCATGCCATTTGAGAGTATGAACTGACCAGAGTTTCCAACACCAGCCACAGAAACACAATCATGGATATATCATTGTTAACTCTTTTGCATCGAGAGAGGACCAAATCTCTTTTACTCAAAAATGGAAAACGCTCGTGTGTAGGAATTTCTGCTGGAATGATTTTCCTTCCCCTATGACAAACTGAATACTACAGCGCTAAAAATAACCAACTTCAGTAAAGGGACATCTTCTTTCTTGGGCGCTTTCACCCGGTGGGAAATTCCTCTTTGGCACGGGATTGCAACTTCGGGCATCAATAGCTAAACATTGACAGTAAACAAAGGAAAAAGAAGGTGCATTAAAATAACAGAACTACTTTTAGTGGCTTGAAAAGAATGATTGACATGTCAAAACTCTTGAAAGCAATGAGCAATGCGGTAACGTGATGGTGGAAAGCATTAGGTAGGAAATTATTCAGGCGGTCGGGCGACATGCCCAAAGAATATGTATTGTTCTTTGACTTGCCGTTGTCTGAATGCTCGGGCGTTTGGGGCGACTTCGATGTGAAAGAGTTAAGTGCGATTATCTTTGCTCTCTTTCGGGACGTCACATCAGTTCACATCCATGAACTAAAATGAAAGCAAACAACGTGTAGCTAAGAAGTAGTAACTTCCTCTTGTCACAGAAGCAAGCTGAAAAATAGTGAAATAATTCTAATTAATTGTCTGAACCGATTACAAATACTCAAAAACAAAAATTCAGATCACACTAAGGCAGGTTAAAGGACGCGCGGGTGCCAGCTGGTAACTAACTTAAATTTTGTCTAAAAGTCGCTTTATCGCAAATAATTTGCGCACTATAATATGATGCAAATTATGTACATTTCATAGATGTTATGCAAAGCGTAATGGAGTTTAAAAATTTAAGTATGTTTTATAGATAATTTTGTTTAGAATCCATTTAGATAATAGTAATTTTATTTATATTCCAATCGGTAATCGATTACTTTCTAATTTTTGAAATCATGGGGAATAATTCTGTCGAGTGAATATTCCTGACATAATGGGTTTTAGACTTTGCCAGACATATCTTCCTCCTATAGACTTCTTTCTCCTCTCTCCTCCCTTACTTAATTATGTCCTTTGTTATACTATATTACTTTCCTCCCTGTATTCTAGCTTATGATCCTAATTATAGTAATCTGGATTTCTCAGTAATTTTACTTAGATATTTTCGAAGTAATTTTATTTATCTCAGTAACACAAAATTCAAACAAGTTATAAAAGTGTGATGCAGACACCACATGACTTCCGCGTACAGCCTGTTAAATTATGCACATTTTTGCTATATTTTATTTAAACTTATATCCCCGAATTATTCTAATGTTTCTTAAGCAGTCTGTCAAGGCAAGTTGAAAGTGACGTCAAAAATTGCAAATTTTGAAAATAAACATTCGTATCAATTTTTGTCGTTCGGTAGTCAAACTTCTTTTAATTTTTCATAACGGGTATAAAACTTTCCCAAATATAAGTATATGAACTGGGAGACAACATTATTAGTTAGATTCCGTTATTTGTCTAAAACTAATTTTTTTAAAAATTTGTCTTTGCCGCAACGCGAACATTTTCGTGATTTAACGACCTCCGTAGTTGGAAATACATGGTTGCGACCAACGATTAAGAAATTAAAGTCTGGGGAATTAATTAGGGCATTTAATCAGTATATGGGGATGGATATATATATATATGTATATGTAACCACCTCCCACCCAGTATATATATATATATATATATATATGGAGAGAGAGAGATGTTATAACAGTCCCATATACTTAATTTCAATGTTCTACGGCTAATCATTTTTGAATTATTTGAGATATTGAATTATTTGAGATAAATACAGATATACGTACGTACGGTTAAGACGTAGCGAAAAAAAAAAAAAAAAATTAAGTTCCATTTTTCAGTCCACTTTGGAAAAAGGAATCCGTTGTTCTGTCTTTTCACTATAACCGTAAGCGTGAAGAACGCTACGCGATAAATGGACAAACTGGATTTGAGAATAGTCAAAATGAAAATTTCCGTTGAAATATGATACCCAAAATTTTTCGCGATTACGATATTTTCTTTACTTAGTGCGATGAAATAAAAACAGTTTTAATGCTTAAATTTTAACATGCACATTAGACATGCTAAACATAATTTTTTGTAACTATGTTTATATTAGAAGTAGAATTTATAATTTAAAAAAATCATTTGAAAATAACAATTTGCTGTAAATATTTTTAAATATTAAATAATTATCACCTATGAAAACTTTAAAGGAGAGATGAATGCCTTTATAACACAGGTACTTAAAAGATTAATTCTTGAAGTATTACAATATAATTCTGAAAATAAGAAACAGTTCCCTTAAAACTTTTAAAAAACAATAGCAAACTGGTTCGGTTAAATTGTTGGTTCTGAAGAGTATTGAGTTTAGCTGAATTAAACATAGAATTCCAGAAAAACACGTGTGACAAATTTTGTTGAATATACGCATTGTCAGAAATTTGTTCTCTAAATTAAATATTATAGAGTTTGGTTTGCTTTGGGAGCATAAACAAGATCCAAACCCTTAACAAACGTAGAACGAATTATCTCTATGTCTGAAGTAACAATAGAGACTTGAAAAGGCTTAAAACAAACTTTTTATTTAAACACAAACTTTTGACCAAAATGCACGTCTCGTACTAACAGGATCAACCAATTGAGATGAACTAACTAAAATAAAATTTACATTTAAATTAAAGCTTACACTAGTAGTCAAAGACTACACAACTAAATTCAAATCGAAGTTGGCTCAAAATACTAACTAGCGTAAGAATTTAAATATCGGTCGCACATAACGCAAAGCCGAATCTTAAAATCTTAACAGGGATGGCAGGACTAAAGTAACTTGCCCTCGAGAGAAAGCCGAATAATTAACAGACATAGGCTTTGTCATACAATCCAGAAGCCTCAGTTTAAATAATTCTCTCTAACTAAGTTTACATTCTGATGAGGAAAGAAAAAGAGAAATAATTGTAAAAGATCTAAATTATTATAACTGGTTACTTTCAAATAATAACCCTACAGAATTTTGAACTAATTTATTTTTAATATATAATATAGGTGGTATAATTTTAACAAAGCGACTTGGGATTTAATTACTTTTAGAGACTAACAAGAAGTGAAGACACATTTAAATTTTTCAGTAGTTCAAATGGTGGAAAAATGTAGGCAAACTACATGTACTAGAAACGAATATGATGGAAATTGATTTTGTAGGTCCACATAGCTCAGGAATTAACTGATTGCTTGGCTCATAGTTAAGGAAGGTTGAGTGCATTTTCAGGATAGAATTTACGAACACCATTTTTGAAAAGATTGAATGAGTGAGACAAAAGGGCATTTGTCTAAGAAAGCGAGGAAAAACATTCAGTTTGTTCTACTGACGCTTATTTCTTAGGCAGATACTTGGAAAGATTTCCATAAAATATCAGGGTAAGATGATAACATTTTGAAAATACTGAAACATATTTTTCATACTTGTCATTTGCAATTGAAAATTTCTCGCATCCGTATATTTTATCAAAGCCTGGTTTTCCATTGCTTTTTTGTTGCATTGGCCAATTCAATTATTCACCGTGGCATTTTAATACTGACTTTCGTTCAAATGAATATCATTCTGATCTTGAGACTATCGAAGCAATCACTTTGGTCACTCTTACGTCATTAAAACTGCTGTACCTTTCGAATTTCATTTCTTGCCTCAGCTCTTATGAAAAAACAACTATAATCTTTGAATGCCTTAATTATATGTTCCTCACTCTTTTTGTCTAAAATGTACGCCTAAGGACCTAGTGAACTGTTTAGACACTTATCGCTGAGTTGAAATAACTAAGACGTAGACCTCGAGAAGTGTAGTTTTAACCTTTATTTGACTAAAAATCAGAAAAACTGTTGGGCGCTTTCTCTGGCTTACAACTAAGCCTCCACTCGGGATTTAACTCTCAATAAAAAATAAGAAACTAAACTATAATTAACTAAAGGAGACTTAGCCGAAGCTA